CAATATAAAATACATATGTTTCCATAGGTAAGCAATATATCTTATCATTAACAACATGCGTTACATTATAAATGTTCTGTATAGATAGTTTCCCGTTAATATTCTTCTCCTTTTACCTCTGAAATAGACAATTAGTATGCATATATGAATGCTTCCTGATGAGGTGGTCACTGAGTCGGCTCGTTAATAAAATGCGTTGCTGCAGATGTTCTATAATCTTCAATGACTCATAGGGAAGAAAGCACTTACTCAAAAGAAAATAGGAAAACTATTTGCTTAGCAAGTGGTTATATATAATTTCCTCACTACAATTATATTTTAACGTTGTAAAAGAAGTGTTTTCTTAATATGCCAAAAATCTATTTAGTGTTTTTCTCCTCTCTGGTGTCTTAACATTAAATACAGAAAAAAAATAATGTACTTTATTATATAGTATATTGTGTGTATATATATATATATATATATATATATATATATATATATATATATATATATATATACACACACACATACACACACACATATACATACACACACACCTTAATCAAAAAGTGGCACTTTCATGAAAATATTTATTATATTACCAGGGACGCTTTAACGCAGCTGCCCTGTGGAACCGCTGCCGAGATCAATTTCTTTTAACTGCCCCATGGGTGTACCAGTGCTTGTTATGTGGCTGCACCAGGGGCCCATTGGGTGACCCAAGCAGTCTTTTTTAGTAGCCACTTAGTCACAAATACTGGCCAAAGTTAGCCTTAATATTTGTTTGTGTGTGAAAATTGCAAAAGACTCATTTGAACGCCAATTTTGGCCAGTGTTTGTGACTACTAAAAAAGACTGGACATACCCCATTTGCAATACCTTGGGTTGTCTTCTTTTGCAAATGGTATGCCATCATTGGGGTAATTCTCATTCCTGGGCTACCACACAGTCTCAAAGGCAACATAACCAATCTGGCGAATTTCAATGCGAAAAAAAACTGAAACACAAGCTTTATATTTGACTCTGTAACTTTTGAAAACACCCTAAAACGAGAGTCGTCCTTGGGCTGACTATGTCACGCACGCAGTGGGGTGGAGCAGGAGCCCATTTTGCCCTATGTGAAGAAATTGCGCCCTGAAAATAAGAAAATAAGAAAAAAAAGAGGAAAAAAATACTGGAGAACAAAACAAGCGAAGCATAAATGGGGAGAGGAGAGAAAAGAGTGACCAGAAACTTCTAGCTGAAACCAGATAAGTGATATAAAATCCTTTGAGATTCTCCCTTATATGTCTGAAATTATTTGATACATTTTATTTTGTATATTCCGCTATAAATGGTGTAGGGGAGAAGGAAAAAACAAGAGAAAGGAGACATTCAGATAACTAAGGGAAAAGGGAATCAAGATAGAAGACTTTAGCAAAATATAAGATATTTAACAGTGACACTCTAAATTGCGGCAAAGAGATAAGTGCATTTTAAAGTTGCAAAAATAATGCTTTTATTTTTATTTTATTTTTGGTTTTCTTTTTCCTTTTTTTTATTGATAAATATCTTCCTATCATGTGTTTAAGGGAAGAGAAGGAAATATATGCATAAGCAGAGTGTGTAAGAGGGATTTTGATGGAAAAAAAATTCCCCTTTAGCAGAAATCCCCATCGGATATCAGGGAAAATTGCTCTTTGTACCTTTAAAAATTATACTTGGAAGTAATCCATCACACCTGATCTAATTGGTGATAAACTGCATAATTATTCACTCTTTTAAGAGATATACAACTATAAAGTAGTTAAGCATGTCAAACAAAGTAAAGGACACACTAAAAATTTGTATCTGGCAAATACAATATATATATGTATATTTTTTTAATTATTAAGAAATAGAAATTTTAAATAAATTCGGCAAAATGGCCGGAAAAAAACCAACAGAAAATAAATCACAAACAAAAAAGAAGGAGCTAAACCTGAAAAACGGTTATCCTTTTTTACTCCCCATACCACAGGTATAAGTATGGATAAGTCAAAACTGAATGAATCTGAATAAATAACAATATATCCGGCAGATGAATCAGAGAAAGAGAAAATAATATCTACAAAAGAACAACCTATGACACAAGAACATCTTATGAATGCACTTGATCTTCAGTTTGGGAAAATAAAAAATGAAATTCATCTAAATAGGCACGATTTAAAAAAAGGACATTGTGACATTAGGGATTAAAGTAAAAGAAAATGAAGAAAAAATGGCAAGTATGGAGACACAAACCTGGCATATAAAGAAATAAATATACAAAATGAGAAGAAAATTGGAATGCTGGAACAAAAAATTGCAGATCTGGAAGATCGCTCCAGACGAAATTATTTAAGATTAAGAGCAATACCTGAATCTATTACAAAAATCGGGAACAAAATTTGCAAGGTTTTTGTTTCTAAATTGGGAGTGACACAAGAAGGCCATGTGCATTGTTCACCCTCCAGTTTCCTACCTCTTGGGTACAGAAGGGTGGCTTCCCTGGGATCCAGTGTGCTGGCTGAGGTATTTGGTAGTTAGGCTTTGACACTCCCGGCACCCCTCCTCTCTGCCTCCCTCCCCACTCACGCACAGGTCCAGTCTCTCTGGGAGGAAGTGATTTGCAATATCTTGGGTTGCCTACTATAGCAAATGGTATGCCATCATGGGGGGTAATTTTCATTACTGGACTACCATACGGTCTCTAAGGCAACGAAACCAAACTGGCGAATTTCAATGTGAAAAAAAATGAAAAATGTAACATGCTATATCTTACCCTGGAACTTCCCAAAACACCATAAAACCTGTACATAGAGGGTACTGTTTTACACGTGAGACATCGCTGAATACAAATATGAATATTTTATTGCAGTAAAAGCAAACAGTATTATGACATTCACAGTTAAAATGTCATGCAGAACTGAAAAAAATAACATTTCTAAATTTGTCACTTTTTTAATATTTTGTTCATATTAAATTATGTTTCATAGCTAAATATTTGATGTTAAATAAAAGCCCTATTTCTCCTGAATAAAATGATATATAATAAGTGTGGGTGCACTTAAAAAGAAAGAGGTGAATTGCGGTTGAACAGACATATAGTCAAATTCCAAGTTTTGTTTACGTTTTATTATGATCAAAACGTGTACATTTGGCTCAGTTCTTAAAGGACCACTCTAGGCACCCATACCACTTCAGCTTAATGAGGTGGTCTGGGTGCCAGGTCCAGCTAGGCTTAATCCATTCTTTTATAAACATAGCAGTTTCAGAGAAACTGCTATGTTTATGAATGGGTTAAGCCTTCCCCCAATTCCTCTAGTGGCTGTCTCACTGACAGCCGCTAGAGGCGCTTGCGTGCTTCTCACTGTGAAAATCACAGTGAGAGCACGCAAGCGTCCATAGGAAAGCATTGATAATGCTTTCCTATGTGACTGGCTGAATGCGCGGGCAGCTCTTGCCGCGCGTGCGCATTCAGCCGCATGGGAGGAGAAGAGGAGGATCGGAGGAGGAGAGCTCCCCACCCAGCACTGGAAAAAGGTAAGTTTTTACCCCTTTCCCCCTTCCAGAGCCGGGCGGGAGGGGGACCCTTAGGGTGGGGGCACCCTCAGGGCACTATAGTGCCAGGAAAACGAGTATGTTTTCCTGGCACTATAGTGGTCCTTTAAGGGGTTAAGCCTTTAAAACACAATACCCACCTTCCTTCTTCCTTAAAGGAACTGGAGGCTTTTATTTCTCAGCAGAGCTTTCAAAACTAAACCCGTTATCCTAAAGGCATATAGAGTCGCAAACCTTTTATTAAGCCACTGATTTGAACATATTGTTACATGTTTCTATTACTTTGTCCAGACTTTAAAAGTACCACTTGATATAGATGTCTTGCTAATATCTAAGTAAAATGTAGCAACCAAGCATTTTGATTCACTTGAAGACCTACTTTTAACTTACATACAAATACCCCAAATAACCCTGCTGGTTCCCCTAAGAATAGATTATAGAATTGGATACCAAAGAGGCTTTTCAGATCCCACCTCTAATTCTTCAATTCACAAAATCCAATTTACACAAAAAAAAATTACAGAACAATTATATATTTGAAACAATATAAAATTACTTGAGGGTATCAGGTTCAATTAGAGAACAAGGACAGAACTTATTAGGTGAAATTTTAATAAAAAGTAATGAGTTTTAGCCAAAGCCTACACAATGATATACATTAATCATAAAAAAAATTAACCATCAACAAAAATCTTTAAAATGACCGAGTGTTCCTTTAAGTTTGAAGAGATATAAAACACAAAGGGAATGTGATAATTTTAATGCAGCCATCTTTTAGAACACATTCCCAATGAGGGCCCCCACTATGGTAGTGTTGTCAATTAAAGTAGTGTAGGAATTGGAACTTACAAACAATCATTATATAATGATAGAATTTGTAACAGTTTGAAAGGTAAATTATATGTTACTTTCTCTATGGCACTCATCTCCACCCCAAATCTTGTTGGGCTACTTTTCCCAAATTCCATAATTTGGAACACCAGATTTTTCCAACAGTTTTCACATTTGAAAACATCACAGCATAGTGCACAAAAAGCACAGCACAAGCATGTCATTAAAAGGGACTCCAGGAGAGGGAGCCAAACTAGCAAGCAGACAGGATGTGCTCTGCATGAGCTCCTGCTACATTGGCTCAAAATACACTGATTTTTCGGGCTGCAGAGATACAATCCTCCCAAGATTCAACTGACTGGACTGGGGAAGCCTGCACGAACCCAGCAATACCGCGCTTGAAGCCCGGAATGACCGCAAACCGCAGCAGCGTGCTGGCAGGAGGTGAGGGGGAAAGATGTCCGCTTTCCCACCCAACACTGACAACCTCATGGGGGCACAAAACACTTCCCCCCTCCCCCCATGGACCGGTGGGGCATATCCCGCCAGACGAAGCGATTCATGCTCCACACCTCACGACGGGGCCAGGGACTCTCACAAGCAACGTGGGTGCAGGAGCCTCCAAGATGGCGGACGCATTGGACCCTGCTCAACAGGCCATGTGGCAGCGACAGCCCACCCTGTCAGGCACGAACGATGCTGTCAAAGACACCATTGGTGATATCTTCGACCGCTTCTGGGCAAAGCTGCTCGCGCGCCTACAACCAGCGACGACTACCCGCGTACCACCAGCACAGGACACAGCCTGTGGCGAGAGGAGGCCGGGGACATTTCTTCAGGGCACACTACTTACCCAAGATACAGACTCCAGCACTAATGGCCCTCCTGGGCAGAGAGCAACAGGGGGTGCACCCCATAGGTGCCGGCCACACCGGCAGAGGACGGTAAAACAAAAGCCACAGCGACCTACGATCAAGGCCCGCCGCACCATTGCGACAGGGACGACCCTGGGCCGCAAAGGAACCCGGGCTCGTGGCAAGCAGGTACCAGCTCTTCTACATCTCCGGGGCAGAAGAGTAGCCTTGCCTCCAAGACGCCATGAGGCCCCCCAGAGAGCGTCAGAGCTCATGGCTCGCTGCAACTGTACATCGCAAAACACCGGGGACTGAGGAGTCGTTTGCCTTGCTCACACGGCGTCACAAAGTGCAGCATGCACTAATATTGTGTCTCATGGACTGATTGATGTCCCAGGGGAAACCTGTTTCACGCTATATGTTTTATAAGCCTGTTCTTCACCCACAAGAAATGCCAGTTACCTATTTCCAGACAGGCATACCTATTACACAACCCATACATAGCACTTATATCAGCACATCGTCTCTATTACACACCTCTTGTGTTTTGCCTCAGTTCATTTACATGCTAGGCAGTAAACTCATGTTCTGTTATGGCCCCACCTGTATTATCTTGTCAAGACCCTAAAAACCCAGAGCCAACACGGCACTTAGCACACTCACCATAGCAGGCCCCTACACCATGATTGTCGATCCCCTTGCCTAATCAGCTTGTTTTGGCATGTACAAGGTTACCAATATAGCATGCACTTACCAAACACTATTATACTCTTAAAGTAAAATGCTGTGCCGCTACATTAACATGATATATGATGTTATCTCTTAACGTTTATGACTGCACGCTCCTTGTTTCATTGTGTGTTTCACATGTGCTTGTCTCCCATTACTCCTAATACTTCTATAGGCTAGGATAGAGCATGATTAATAACTCCCGTAACTGAACCTTGATTACCTTACCACTACATATGTTCAGAACCTGGAAACTAAAGCTTAGCATGTCTCTTATATTCAAGCATGGCTAATATAAAATAAAATGATGCACGACTACTCTAATATCTCAATTGTATAGCATTATCTATTGCATGAGGATTGCCGTTGGGGTACCTCAGGCTTGCATGTACCTATCTTTTGCACATCAAAAATAAAAAATAAAAAATACAAGATAAAATAAAAGGGACTCTATAGTCACAAGAACAATTACAGATTCATGCATTTGTTCTTGTGTGTATAGTATGTCCCTGCAAGCATTTAAATTTAAACACTGCCTTTTCAGGGAAATGGCAGTGTTTACATTGCTGCCGAGGGACACCTCTAGTGGCAGTCAGTCAAACGGCCACTCGAGGTGCTTTATGGGTCAGTGCTGTACAACGTGCAGCACTAACATTTAGTGTCTCCACGAAGTGCATAGAGGGGCTGAACGTTCCCCATAGAGATGCACTGTTTCAATGCATCTCTATGAGAAGTTGCTGAATGGCGCACTGCGGTGTTTTGCTGTGCGTGCGCATTAGCCTCCCAATGCTTTCCCATGGGAAAGCATTAAATTGGCCGAGATAGTCAATTCTGATGATCTCAGCCAGGGTGCCAGAGCCAGGACCAGCAGACCTACGTGCACTGTAAAATAAGGGTTTTAACCATTTTTAAGAGGGGCACCTACCATGTGTTTTTAACACTATAGGGTCAGGAGTACACGTTTGTATTTGTGACTGTATAGTGTTCCTTTAAATACTGCAAATGGCCAATAAAGGAAATTCCTGACTGTGAACGTATTTCTGCATAACTCTGCACATGAGCCTCCCCAGATGGCTGGATTGCTGAGAAGTATGGAATTATAGACCAAAAGCAGCTAAAATTTTAATATATTGGCACTAGAGTCCATAATATAGCAAACATTCCTGCATAGTTAGAGGTGCCTTGAAAGTTTATTGTGCAACTGTATGCTTGTCCCATTGAGTGAGCATGCAGTTGTAGGAAAGGATTAATCACTCTGTGCTTATAATGGCTGAAGGTGTCACATGTAGCCACATACACACAAATCAGAAGGGGCTTTATGCACGACCAGAGAAAATAGCATTGTAGAATTTAGTCTAAAATAGCCAAACAATATAGTTACATAGCTGAAAAGAGACTTGTGTCCATCAAGTTCAGCGTTCCTCACATATGTTTTTGCTGTTGATCCAAAAGAAGGCAAAAAAACCCAGTCTGAAGTGCTTCCAATTTTGCATCAAACTAGGAAAAAACTCCTTCTTGACCACAAAATGGCAGTCAGATATCTCCTTAAAGCAAGCAATAATTACCCCACTAATTAGAAATGATATTCCTGTACAGGGCCGGACTGGGAAGAAAAGTCGTCCCGGGCATTTTGTAATTACAGCGGCCCACTAAAAGGGGGGCGGGGCCAGATAGGGCGTGTTTTGTCATCACCAATGACAAGCACTACCCATCACAAAGTTAGCATGTTGGTTCAATGCTCTTCCAGGGTAGAACATGCGCAGAGCTCTGCTGAAGAGCTCTAGCATGAGAAAAAGACCCTGTATTTGTTTTGCACAGCGCAAGCAAATTTAATAACATGCTTGCACAGTGTTTGCTTGAAATTTGTTTCTGGTGTCTCCATAGATGGGACACCAGGAGACAAAAATGCTAGGAAAGTATATTGTGCAGTGTGTGTGTGTGAGGGTGATGTGTGTGTGTGTAAGGGGTGCAGTGTGTGTGCGAGTGGTGTGTGTGTGTGTGTGAGTGATGGGTGCTGTGTTTGCGTGAGGGTGCTATGTGGGTAAGGGTGAGAAAGCTGTGTGTGAGGGTGCAGTGTGTGCATGTGAGGAAGCTGTGAGTGTCAGGGGTGCAGTGTGTATGAGTGAGGGTGCTGTGAGTGTCAGGGGTGCAGTGTGTGTGTGAGTGAGGGTGCTGTGAGTTTGAAGGGTGCAGTGTGTGTGTGTGTGCTGTGAGTGTCAGGGGTGCAGTGTGTGTGGGTGCTGTGAGTGTCAGAGGTGCAGTGTGTGTGTGTGAGAGTGAGGGGCTGTGAGTGTGTCAGGGGTGCAGTGTGTGTGTGGGGGTGCTGTGAGTGTCAGGGGTGCAGTGTGTGTGTGGGGGTGCTGTGAGTGTCAGGGGTGCAGTGAGTGTCAGGGGTGCAGTGTGTGTGTGAGTGAGGGTCAAGTGAGTGTCAGGGGTGCAGTGTGTGTGTGAGAGGGTGCTGTGAGTGTCAGGGGTGCAGTGTGTGTGTGTGAGTGATTGATTGTGCTGTGAGTGTCAGGGGTGCAGTGTGTGCGTGTGAGGGTGCTGTGAGTGTGTGAGGGTGCTGTGAGTGTCAGGGGTGCAGTGTGTGTGTTTGAGTGAGGGTGCTGTGAGTCTCAGGGGTGCAGTGTGTGTGTGAGGGTGCTGTGAGTGTCAGGGGTACAGTGTATGTGTGTGTGTGTGAGTGAGGGCCCTGCAAAGACCGGCATGGGCGATGGCCAGTCCGGGCCTGTCCTTGTATGTTATGTTTTTGCAAGTATTTATCCAATTGCTGTTCTGTGTGGACTCTGATAAAACCACCTCTTCAGGCAGAGAATTGCACATCCTTATGGGTCTTACTGTAAAAAATAAATAAATAAAACACCTTTTCTTTGCCTTAGACCAAATCTCCTTTCTTCCAGCCTAACTGCGTGACCTTGTGTCCTATATATAGTCCTGTTTATGAATAGATTTCCAAATAATGGATTGTACTGGCCCCGAATATATTTGTATAATGTTATCATATCCCCACTGTGATGCCATTTTTCCAAACTAAAGAGATTTAATTTTTTTTAACTTTTTTCATAAGTAAAATGCTCCACATTCCTTTTATCAATTGTGTAGCCCGTCTCTTCCCTTTTTCTAGTGTCATGATATCCTTCTTTAGAACAGTTGCCCAAAAAAATATGGCCTAGTCATGCCTACTTTACCTTGATTTTTCCAATTTGGTTCCGAATTCACTATAATTCACTGTTTAGTGAATAAACCCAAATGTGTTTAGCTACTTAACTCTCGTGACACTCAAAGGTAAACTGAGCTGTGGTCATAGGTGCAGAGGTACATGGTGTCTATGCATGGTTTAATGCAGCGATAGCCAAAACAGGAGATACACAGCTGCTGAAAAAATATGACTTTAATGATGCTTACCCAGCCATAAGTCTGGCAAAGCATTGTGGGAATTGTAGTTTTATAGCAGCTGTGAAGTAACCTGTTGGCCATGCATTATTCACGACAGTGACGACTAATCTTTAACGGTCCAGCTGTTGTGGATGATTGACCATGACATATGGACCAGCTTCAGGAAATGTAGTTCACATCATCTGGAACGCCAAAAGTTAGGCATTGCTTTACTACCGTTTTTCCGTTTCGGGCACTTTTGTTTCAATAACCAGAAAACCTCTGTGAAATACATATTTTTCATAATTAGTGATACTTCCCTTTAATAGTGTCTCTATAATGCACTCTGCTTTTTAGCAGGACTATCTATTAGATAACTCAACAGAAATTTGTCGTTAATGATGCAGAAATTGGTTTCAGATTAAATCAAGAGCTGCTTAATAAGCTAGTGATTTGGCCATGGATATAGTCTGGTATACTGCGTCAATGCTACTTGAAACAGATGGAGATCAGCCACAGACATCTAAAGACTTGCAATGTACAGATAAAATGCTGATATTATGTGGCCGGATTTCTACAAACCAATAAGGATAAAAGGACAAAGTTTATAAAAATATCCAATGCCACAGATAAGCACACAAGATTATGTTTACGGACACCTAATTATCATCTGATTGTTCAAGCATTTCCTCTCTCTGAAAAACATTGGGATCTGAAAAACACAATTGCCGCTATCTGCCTCCGTATGCGTGCCCTCCTTTCCTACACTCACTTCCTCTACTTGATTGTCTCCTTTTTATTTCTAGTGACCTGATGTCTATAAATGATTATCCCCACCTGCTTTTTAACAGAAATCATTAAGCAGCTGGATACATCAACAAAGCAGAGCCGTTTTTCATAAATAAGTCAGAAAGATGGCCAGTAATTAAAGAAACCAGTCACCCAAATGAATTATACAACAAATGTGATATTCTGTCTCCTGAATGTAAAATAATTTTTCCTACAGTTTGCAATACCGCAAGAAATTGGGAAGATATGCTTTAACAGTGATGGCTAAACCAGTTCCTATTTTGAACTACGTTCCCCATGATGCACAGACAACTTTTAGCCCCATCAGAGACTACATCCCCATGTCTGAGCCTTTGACAGGCGGATCATCATGGGGCAATTAAGTTCACATATGCAGTACCAACGTTGGGTATAATAAGAAT